AAAGTGTTCAGAGATATCAAATCGCGATCGATAAAGCAAAAGTCATATTGGATCTCGCAATATCTCCTATTACTTTGCTCACGCCTTCAAATCTTCCTCTGAACACTGAGAGTACAGCTGGATACAAAAACAGTTTGAAGAAGGCAGCTGCTAATATGAAACTCGAAGTGAATAAATCAGCACATTTGGAGTTAAGATCAGTAGGAGTCAGGTACATGAATGGAGGGCCTTCAAAGATCAAAGGGCCAACTTCTCACCCATCAAATACAATCAACAAGGAAGAATTAACTTCAAACTAATCATTAAATTTACTACCGTATTTATTTGGCTATAAGCCGAGCGATTTTCACACAAATTCACGCTAATATTTGGTAAAATCTAAGCTACAGAAGGGGGTTCGGCTTATAGCCGAGATTTTTCCTAAAACAAACGTTTTCGACATATTAGAACGATAATGAATGGGCACGTATTCGCGTATGAGCCGAGCGAAAATAAAGAAAATAAACTCAGGGTACAGTATGTTGGTCATAAACTTTTTTATTTTGTGGTGGCTCCTAAAGGAGCCGTTTGTTTGTAATTGAAGCGATCTGTTCTTACTGCTCGTCGTCTTCCTTGTCGTTATCGAATTCATCATCCATTTCCTCATCCTCTGCATTAGCGAATTCTTCTGCGTAGATGGCGTCATCTTCTGTGCCGTCGAGCGCGTTGGAGATACCGCATACCTGCTACAATTTTAAGCTTGAACGAGAGGTTGTACGATATACGACGAGCTTTTGACGGATTGACTTTGATGAACGATTGCGAACACGGAATTGTTTGAGAAAGGTTTCTAAACTCAGATTGTTTACTCAGTGCCGTGCACTAAGTTTTATTGACTCGATAGGATCACATTAAATTCATGTTAACTATGATTTGTCGCTTTCAGTTCAATAGCCGAAATCAATATTAATTAATTATCGGTTAACGCTTTGCAATCTTACTTTCTTATACTTTTCGATCCTTCTAAATGTTCATGACAATCAGTGTGTTTCTTTTGAAGTCTGTCTTTTTATGAACATTGTGTTCTAAAATAGTTCTCGACTTATAGCCGAATGTTTTGGTTTAACTTTTCGTGATGATGCCGCTGAGTTTACAAATTGGAAGTTTGGGGTCTCGACCTATAGCTGGGATCGGCTTATAGTCAAGTAATACGGTAACTTCGCAATGTTTTTATTAGCAGCATTTTCAGCGTTCATGATTCATCGTTTCTGTTTTTAAAACTTGCTACGTGTTTGTTCAACTATGAAAAATACAACTCCCATCATCAGTACCCATGAATTTCCACCAAGAAAGCTAATCACTGATCCAGCAGTCTTGAACACGAAGTCGACTATTGAACCGATAAGACCTAGGATAATTTCCGCGATCTTACTTCCAATAGCCTCAAACCCATTTCCAACTCCTTTGATAACAGACTTCAGGACTTCTTTCAATGCCCTCACAATCCCCCCCAATCGTAGTACGAACTGCTAGGATAACAGCTGAAACTGTGAAGCCATACTTCTTGTAGATGTTTCTCACTCTCTCTCTCTCTCTCTCTGTGAGTGGAGAGCCCTCTTCGAGTTCTTCTCTCTCATTCTAAAGATCATCAAGCTGTTGTCTATTTTCAGTTAACCTTTCTCTTGCTCGTAATCTTATAGCTAGGTCTTTATTCTCATCATTGACAATCCTGTAATCTTCTTGAAGAGTCGTCTGTTTCTTTTCAACTTTTTTACCTTTCTTAGCATACAACTGTTCTTTTGTTTCACCTGAATCTTTCTTTGTTGCTTTCGGAGGATCTGGATATATGTCTCCTTGTAATGTAAATAAGGGGGGGAGTTCCACCTAGAGGACCATAATTAACAACTTTCCCTTTGTATCTTCCTTCTGAAGGAATATTTAAGGTAATAACCCTTCTGTTTTTACCATATCCATCATAAATATGCTCAAGTGTTATTGGGGCCGTTCTTATCCTTGATTTTTCAGGTGAATTACCCTCAATGAAAGATGTTTGAGCAGTTTTTTACCCTTTTTCTTCATCTCTATTCATTGTTGTTATTTCAATCTGTTCTCCGGATAATCCTGGGGTAGAACTATACTAAGCTTTAAAAGGTGTTGCTGTATTTCCATCATCATTATCATCATATCCATCATTTGCATTTCCTTGTTTATCAAGCATACGATCTTCTTCGCCAAATTCTGCGATTTTGAATCTTTTAATATAACATCTTCTTTCGACATGTTCGCTCTCTCGTGCTCAGTAAAAAGAAGGTCTTTCTAGAGCTCAAATAGATCGTAGCTAGCGGTATCTTGCAAAATTTCTCGTACGTATTTCACTGTAAATCGTACAACAAGAGCTCTCGATACATTGTCTATGTGGAAATTGTTTCCATGCCTACTTACCGTCAGATCAAAGACTAATGCAAGAGATTCTTACACAATGAGTACTCCTTCATCAAGCTTTGGAACGGGTACAATCAGAATTTTTACCCGGTTTTGCACTGTCTCGATTAAATGTGACTTGACGAACCGTGAGATCTGCTTTGAGAGCGTGCGATGTCCTCTTTGCTAAATTTGGATTTGGATTGATTGATTTGCCCACTGACCGCCTTCATTTTTCTTGGAAGTGATCCACTCTGAAGATCTTTCAAAGAGTAAATGTAATCTTGGAGACAAGATGACTTCAGGTGTTACGAATGAGATCAAACTGGCTCAAGTGCGTGGAAACAATTACAGAATCCTAACAGATCATGAGATTTGGAAAGATCATGGAGTCTTCTATCCCAGAGCTCTTTCAAATAATCTTACTTTCCAACTCATGCTCGAAGCTGCAAATAATGTTGTGAAGGAACCTGATTCGGTAAAGCTCAACTATAAACGGAGCAACATCCAACTTCAGTATGAAGAGATTCAGGATCACACTATTTGAATTGATGGGTATATGTAAGAGTATGTACCTCGTGTGGAAACAATCTCAATTTCAAAAGAAATGACTCAATCATCATCAGAGCATTAATTTTCCAAGAAGGTTAATAAAAGTAATTCTTCTCCTCTTCTACGACCCATACGCAGCAGGAGCGAGAAACAGCGAGAAGACATTAAATCCTAACATCGCTGATGTATAAATAACCTTGGGTATGTACAGCCTGGAGATGAGAGTAAGAGATATGTAGGAAGTAGTGTGGAGAAGATTCATGAGAAAAGCTTAATGAATAAAACTGACTTCTATGCAGGAGGTAGATGCGGTATCTTTATAGATGTCAGCAGCACGACAGGTAATGATCTTCATGGTTCAGAAACGAAATAAGCGGGAGGAAAAAGAAAAAGTTTAGCTCACAATTCACCGAAATGCATCAGGTTCAGGGAATGTGAGTTGTCACATCTTCATCCTCGCAGATGCACAGTTAAACATCATGAACAAAGAACTTGAGGGTGTTAAATATTACCTTCTCACCGCCATTGTGCAAGAGCATCATATTGGACATTCATATCATTGGTTGGAAAGTTACTAAGGGTCCCACCAAAACACGAGGCTGTGATCCATCATCAGACCAAGACTAGCACTATTTCAGAAAACCCCATCCGGTTCCATTCAGAGCATCATACGACTCTAAGATTTGTATAAAACTTTTAGAAAATGAATTATACTTCTTAGTATCCATGAATCGTGCTTTTCTGTCAAAGCTTTTTTTTTCATAAATGACAACATTTTTAATTGTAAATAGTTTTAATTATATTGTAAATAGTCTCACTTCTGTTTTACTTGTATTATCTGATTAATATTTCATCTCTTTTTCTATCTACATATTTATGTACTTATCCAGTTATTTATTTGTTATCGTGGCATGCCTATGGAGTAGCTGGTGCATTTTTTTTTAAACTAAACCGAAAAGCTAAGTTAAAGTTTTTGACAAGTTCACTTTCTAGACAATCGCCTTAAGGAGTTCATAGCGGAGCACAGCTGATATGATGCGATGTCTGGTTTGCAATGGCTTGTTGACAAACTTTACCCTGTAAGTTAGCCGCTGAAAGCGGCCGTTAGCTCCACGAGCTGAGCAAAGAAGAGCTCTGTTAGTTGGTGCAGTAAGGTGTCTGTGCCGTAAATTCAGTAAATACCGCACGAGTTACAGATGTAGGGAGCTTCCCTGCTTTCTAATGGCAAAGTTAAGTACTCCTCGTGTTGTTATTTCTATTAAATATAATCTAATCATGGCGTAGATGTCGAATAAACCCTAGATGAACGTCCGCGGGAGTCGAGATAAGTGATTACGGAAGTAGATCACAAACTTTGGTGAACACAAAATGAGGCAAATACCCTAGATTACGGTAAGAAAGTTAACATGGCTACCGTGGTTGACTGTTCGAGCTGTTGGAAGACATTCACCAGACGTCTTAGAGGGCATGCGCGGAATGTTGTGTTGCCATTGCTATATGCAAATCATTACATTTCCTGTGACGGCATCGTTAATAATGTCACGAGCAAATAACCTGCGGGACTTGTGAACAAAATAAATTCTAGTGACTTTGCTTCAGCGTGACAATTTTCTTTCCTTTTCGTTTTGTTACGTTTTTTATTTTCATCAGGTGCAACTGAAAATAACATCGACTGTTGATACTAGAATATCCAGGAGAGTGCCATCCACCTCGTCCTCTCATGTCAAGTTTGCGTTTACCTCAATGAAGAGCCCACACCTCAGTGTAAATTCACAAGCAAAAATATACAGGTATTTACTATATATATCTTTTTCCTTACAAAAAGGATGAAAATCCCCCCTAGGGGTTTTTCTATCCAAGAGGCACTTTTTTTTTTCACTTTTTTGTCAATCTTGTGAAACTCTGTGACTCCACCCATTTCATTTTTGATTATTTGTTTAAAAAATAAACAAACATACAAACTGGAAAACAAAAGTGATGTTTATAGCGTATCGCTATATTATAGAAATCACAAAGACACCGGCTTTAAGTAAAACTATGAGGAATATTTATTTTAGCGGCTCCGTTTCTTTCATGAGCCACTTCAAAGCCATTTCCCTTTTCCGTCTTCTAAGCTCCGCTCCTATAACTTCTCTTGTCCTTTCATGATACTTATTTAACCAGTCGACCTGTAACAACAAGAAATGCCAGTAGTAAACCTCGTCAAAAAAGCGTACGGGCCAAACTGGTTATTGGAACAAGACAATGGTCATCAGTTTAGTCTGAACATTTTTTAATCTTTGACAGTTACCTGCGACTTGCTCAACAACGACACGTCAATAAGTTTCCTTTGAAACGGTAACTGTGAAAGTTAAAAGACAAAAAAACAGTGTTAGAAATGTGTCCTCGAGTAGATACTATTGAATGGCCGCTTAAAAGAAGTTATATTTCCGTTTTGTTAGTGTAGAAATCTCGATCGGCCAAGTAAAACACGACTTCTAGTCTAATAGGAAAAGATAAAAAGATTATTTAGAACTGATACCTCGCTAACGTTGTTTCCTTGCCCCGAGAGCACAACTTATAAACCTAAATCATAGTTTCAGGGTTATAACTGAAGGAGAGGTACAGGTCTATGGATTGGTGGATTTTGGAAATACTTATGCCCGAAGTTCGGACTCAAAGCAGTATCTCAACGGGTTTGCAGATTGTTCTTTTGCAACAGATTGCAGTGGATCCTTTTTTTGCCTCGGATTTTGGATCTTCGCCTCATTTCAGAAAGGAATCCTTCAAACATCATGCTGGTACTCGCCTGTTTTATGTTTTGCTGATGTAGCATATGAAAAAATGCGTGAATACACATAATTAATTATTTTTCTAAGAGAGACAATGAGAGAAAGGAAATGACAGTTCTGGGATAATCCAAAACAGAGGATAAAAAATGTGTTTTGGGTCAAGCCCGGACCACCGTTTTTTTTAGTTCTTGACAATTTTCTTTGAGCTGAATCGGTCAATGCTTTCACAAGCTTATTATCAGACATTTGTTGTTGTTGAACTGAAAAAAATCAATCCATTTGTTTTACTCTTACAGGCAGCCCTTTAGGGCCGGGCCTCGAAAAGGCAATCTGTGTGTGTGTGTTTTGCTGCGTTTCACTTCGCTATGGTTTTGGTTGTGATTGATTAACGAGAGCCAAGCTTTTGGCCGGGGAGTGGAGCGCCATCAAAAAGAGTTAAAGAATTTGAGTGAGTGAGAATGATGATGGTTTCCCCTTCTGCGCCTGGCCGAAGGTCTCCGGTTCTGGTTCTAGTTACAATCCTCCCCCTCTGGGACCTAGATCCTTCGGAACTTCGGATTGCTTTCAAACATCTCTTTTTCTTTACCTCTCTCACTCTTCTGTTGCGTTCAGCAAGGTTTTTGCCAGCTGCGACAAGCCCTGACTCTTTATTTCATTTTGTATTATTTTTATCAGTTGAAGTCACCTGTTGAGCCTCTACGAGGTCCGGCTGAGGTTAACCGGAGCTTCTTCAGTCTTAGGTTCTTTGCCATCCATTATATTTGTTGATGCATAATTTTAACTTCTTATTAAGTACTTACACAAGTTCTCTCTCAAAAACTTATTCTAGTACTTACACAAGTTCTTATTAAGTACTTGCACCAGTTCTTATCAAGTACTTGATAAGAACTTAATCAGTTTCTTCACGAATGTATCTATTTCCTTATCGTTGACCAAGGGTACTTCAATATTTTTGACAGTGAGAAGAGCAACACTTGTGATTGCCATGTACTCTCCATACCTGAGACTCAATCCACTGGCAAGAATTCCGAGTTCTCTAGTTGCCATAAATTTATCATTCAAGTCCTTCAGAAGTTTTCTTTTACCAATAGGGAGAAAATGAGCTAATGCTTTAAATGAAAGCTGAAGAAATGTATCAACAATTGCATCGCAAGTCTTTGAGGACAATAAAGCTTCGTATCTCTCAAAGTACTTCTCAACATCTTGCTCAGTAAGCTTCTTGACTTGATCCTCAGATACACCAATCATTTTCTTCTCTTTGCCACTTGCAACGAGAACAGCGAGTCTTTCTCGATGTCGTGAATCACTGAAGGGTTCAATCTCGAGAATGTTCCGAACATCATTAAAAACGTCTTTTTTGTTGTCAGTCATCTCCATTTTAATTGAGAGATAGAAATATTTCCACGGAAGTTCAAGATCAATGTAATAAGGATGAGGAAGTGAGAATATGACATGAGAATACTTATCACTTTTTAGCTTCGTCATCAATTCTTTCTTTTTATCATTCATCAACTCACCCGCGTAATCCTCGAAAATGATCTTCGTATCCTTGGCTGATGTTGTGTAAAAGAGAACTGATACAGCAGTGTTCTCTCGGAATGGTTTTGCGATACTTGTCATGTTTTGTATGAGGACCCAAACGCTGTTTCCCTATGTCTTGCGCTGAATGCTACATTCACGGGTCCATTCCTCCCCTGCTTCACATCTCTCGAAGCAGCGCAGTCATCGAGAATGATCAGTGTATCAGTTCCCCTGTACACATAAGATAAGTAAGTCCTTCTCATTTGTTGTGGATGAATGTTGGACAGAGGAGAACGATGTAGTCAAACTTTCCTCGGAAGGTGGTGCTCAAGAGATTGACCAAGTATCTTGTCTTTCCTGAATTTTGTAGGTCCAACTATTGATGCATTGAAGAGGATATTATCAGGATTCATTTTTTTTTATTGATTCAATTGATAATGACCATGAGCAAAAGTTGCTATTCTAAGTTCTCTTATTCTTCTTCATCGTTCGCACTCAAAGTTATCTTGTTAATTAGTGAAGACTTTATGCCTATGTGATCTGATTACATTCATTTTCCTCGTTTGTATTTCTTCGCTGGATAGGCTCTTCTTGCAGTCTTCGTGAGTTATCCCCTTTTATTATTACAGTCATCTTAATCCCTTTGAACTTTTTCTCTTTTTATCCCTCAAACATCTTGTCGCTGTAGATTTTTGCTCTCATTCCAACAAACTCTCTAATGATCTTTCCACCAGCTTCATTCTTCATCATTCCCACGACCTTCTTATTTTTCCACTTGGGATCCCTGACACATGAGGGTATTTACTTGTGTCGAACTTATCTTCAACATCACCGCTTGTATTCTTGTACAGTTCTTCACTTTCAACCTCATACATCAAGCTGTCAGTGTCTGCGAGGAGACGCTTTACACAATCTCCATACTTCTTCATGATGTAGCTAAAATAGAAGTCATACACCAGAGTCTTGCTGATATCGATGATGCTCATTCCACAATAGACCGGCGTATCGAAATTAAGTTTTGTCTTCTTCACATGAATCGCCAAATCTTTATTGAAAATCGACCGATGCTTAAAGTTTCGTTTCGCTGCAAGTTTCAATGCTATCTTTCTATCATTGACTAATCTCATATCTACTCGATTCCTGATGTTTTCCATAGTTTTTCCGAAGACTGTATTGTTCATCAACTAGAAAGACTCTTTCTCAATTTCATTTTTTGTATTTGCGCGCAGACTCGAGTTTAAGTCAATGTATATCCTCAGTCAAGGCTCTTCCTTCAAGCTTATTCCCCTATGAATCTTCTTAATCTTCAAACCGAGATCGAGACACTGTTTTAGTGTCTTGTGATGAACTACTTATCTCTCCTTATCATTCAGATTTGGAATAAGTTTTTCTACCCCATTGATCCTCAGTCTCTCAAGGACAAGTGGAATACTCAAGTTCCACATTAAGAATACAAGGAGTTTCTCTCCAGTTTTCAAAGTCAATCAAGCCTTCAGCTGGGCATCATAGCTGCATCCACTTGAAATTTCTAACATGAAGAGGCTGACACATTACCCCCGTATTTCGTTGTCTTTGATTCATCATAATTTTTATCCATGTATGGATAAATTGGCCGTGCAAAGCGATTTGAGATCATTGAGATTCCTCCCCGAATTCCTTTTTCAACCATCAGCAGGATGCCAGGGTCACCCAATAGCTCAAGCTCAACTCAGCATCCCTAGCCAATCCAGGAGCGGTGTAATACCAGGCAGGGTCGAGCGCTTTATTCTCGAGACAGACGTTCCAGAACTCTTCAAACACATCTGGAAGAAGGAGAACGTCTAGTTTGAGATAAAGGTCATGGTAATCACCCATCGTCTTTAATCCAAACTCTTTCTAGACCCTCTGTGCATGCTCATAGTCTTCATCAGGGATAACGCAATCGTTCAGCTTTGAATAGGACTCTTCCCTGGGGGGCAATTCTATTTCATGAAATTTATCAAAGCTGTTCATGTAGTCATATGGGTACACACCCTTCCTTAAGACCAACTTAATTGCAGCTACGCTGCCTGACCCTTCAAGGCCTGGCCGAAGGCTTTCAAGACTTTCCTGGTATGTCTCAGTTTATCATGACTCAAATTATTAACTAATTTATCGAGAGAAGAAGTAATTTCCTTGAATATTATCGAGATTCTTGATGAATAGATGGGAATCATAACCAGCCAAGTTGTGAATGATGACCGGAGTGAACTTCGGCTTCTTAAATTGTAGCTTACATTTGTAATTAACTTCACCACGATACTTCTCTGTGAAATGGTTTCTTAGAAATCTTCTTGATGTTTTCTGCAAGCATTTCAAGAATGATCTGACCGACTTCTTAATCCTCACTCTTTGCTCCGTAGATGACTGGCTCTAGTGAATAAAGTTTATCATCGAAAGAAACGATTTTATAGCTAAACTTGCATGGTTTGTGCTTTTGATACTGATTAGTGAAGCTCTTATCACCCCTCGGCTCGCATGTGTCAATCGGTTCTGTTATTGATTTAAGGTCCGCGTAAATTACGAATGAAACTCTTACAAAACGATTGTGATCCTTGAATTTGATAGCATGAAATGCAAATAAAAAACAAAATGCAAAAAAAAACCACACTAATGGTTGATTTGGGAAAGCTTTCCTTCAGCAGTTTACTTTCCTCTTCAATGCTTTTTGGGACACGAAAACGGTTAACTGCATTAGTTTCTGCCATAATCAAGCTCCGACTGACCACGGAGCAATTATCTTAATGAGTAAAGCCATAAAACCATAAATTTAGGATACAATTGGAAGTCCTCCAAGAAACCCAAAGAGACAAAAGATGAACGGTAGCTGATAATGATGTCCAAAATTATGCAACCAATAGAAAGTATGTAACAATAGTGTTCCGATTTAGGTGCTAGTTAATCTAGGCAGTTTGAGAAGAAATCTAAAAAACTCGTGCTTCGGGTTTGATCGTGGTATTCAAACAAATAAAAGCTCGATATTTGGATACCACGATCAAACCCTCGCACTTGTTTTTTATGTACTACCTGGAGCTTTCTTGCTAAAAGCATGGGAAACTGGATAAACTCTTCCTCTTTCAACTCTGAGCATAGTAGGTTTTCTGCCTGGGTATTCCAAATAAAGAATTTTCCCGAGCGCATCTGAGTGCAACTTTTGTAACTGATTCGCCTTCAGTGAAAGATAAATAAGCAGTTTTTGATGCTTTTTATTCTCCCTTGTTCATTGTCGTCGAAGCGTTCAAAATGTAAATGTAAAATTTTTTTCTTTTTCTACCTATTTTTCATCTTCCTTTCTCTTTTAATACCATATCATTCTATTTAGGATGGTATTTGAGCGCCTAGCAAGGTTAAAAGTGACAGCTTTAAACAGCGTTGGATTTGGTAGAAATAATTATTTTAAAATCCAACGCTCCATCTAATTGATAAGCAATATTTGAAAATTTATTTTTCATTCGCTTCTGCAGTTTTTCGATGTTTGTCGAATGATATTGCATTAAAAGGCCTTTTTTTTCATAACTGCGTAGTTTTCTCATTATTTTGTGTTGCGATAGTGATTTTGGAACTGGTTTTTGAAAGGGCATATTTTGGGACAGATTTTGCTACAATTAGACGTAGCAAGTTCGCGGCTGGATATTTTTGGTTTAAAGCGAAACTGAAGCAAAAGAACTGCATTTTTAAATAGTATTAGGTAACCTCTAGTTGGAAGATAAAAATCGGCCGATTTTAATTTTTAGCCAGAAATCATCGGTCGTTTCTTAGGCGCAGGGCCTTTTAATGACTGTGTTGTGTTTGTGCCAGGATCTCGCTCACTCATCTTTGACTTGGCAGTTAGTGGTCATGCAAACAATTATATCGTGAAGGATGTCGCAAGAGCTCTTGTTGACAGGTTGACTGTGAAAATCGCAGGAGAAATCGTGTAGGACACCGATGGTTATGATCTATTCAAGCTATATGAGGACCTCCTCTTGACTGAGAACGAGATAGCAAGTATGTTCAGAGAGGGTATTCAGTCTGTTGATCTTTCGAAGATCAGATGCAGTGCTGAAGATAAGAAGAAATCAGGAATTGACAAGGAGAATAAGCTCAGTGATGTCTATCAGAACAAATATAGGATTCCATTGAATCGTGAGATTCTGAAGGATCATGGAGTGTTCTTCCCAAGAGCTCTTTCTGATGAGCTCCTTTTCGAACTCAGGCTTCCACCTGCCAGCAATGTTGTGATAGGATCTGACGAGACTCAGCTCGCCTATGAATTGAATAACATACAGCTTTAGTATGACGTCATTCACAGTCAAGAACCCGCTGATGAGGCCTTGTCTAACTGAAAAAATGGAAAGAGATTCATGTACGTGCACGTAACTCATCTCAAGACAGTCCTAGTAGATAAGGGATCAGAAACGATCATCGATAAGAGCATCGGTGTTTCAGGGAGGTCAATGAAGGGACTTCTTTTATATGAGCCATATGTCGCTGGTGCTAAGGACAGAGAGAAGACATTTAATCCCGAAATCACTGATCGTCAATGGAATCCCAATTAAGGTTTACAGTCAAGGAATGGAGACAAGAGATAGGTGGGAAGAGCTCTTCAGAAGATTTGAAGAGGAAAACAGCGCGATAAATGCAACAGACTTTTATGCTGGAGACAGATTCGCTCTTTTCATCGATCTCAGGAGTATGAGAGACAGTGCTGTTAGTGAAAGTGGATTGAGATTGGTGAATACGAAAGAAGGAGTTCAGCTAGTAATTAACGAGAAAGCGTCAGGCTCAGGGAATGTAAAATGTGACATCTTTATCCTCTCAGATGTCAGCTCAACGTCATTAACCGTAAGCTTGAAAGCGTACGCGTGACCTATTAATGAGACAACTTCCCATTTATAGAGACACTGTTTTGACAGGAGAACAAATCAAAGCACATCACGACTTCTTTGCGAGAAGACACGACATTGCTGCTGATCCTATCGAATTATTGAATTTATCTAAATTTGTTCTGATTCTGAAGATTGACTAGTTCAAAAAATTATGATTTGAGATTTCTGCGCTTAACTCAGTAGTAGTTGTAAAATAATAGTTCTTGGACAATGCAAAACCAAGAATAAAAAAAGTGGTCCGGGCTTGACCCAAAACATTTTTTCTATGCTTGGTTTTGTACTGTCCCAGAACTGTCATTTCCTCTCTCTTTCTGACTGACCTCAAATATTCACGAGTTATGATTTTGAGCGTGTCAAACCAGAAAATGCATGAGCAAAAATTGTATGGGCGGCCCATTGAAATAGCTGGTTCCGCAAACCAATAAATGGACCACATAAACAAGTGACGTTACTTAATGGTAGTTACAAAAAAATCAGACTCATTTTTGCAATGAAAGAGCTACAATTGATTCCGTTCATATTTGCAAAACAAATAACTCACAATCGAAAAAGCTATGACAAACAAGGAAGGACGAGAAAAATAATTCATGTGAGAAGAATTACAGGAAAAACGTGACATTTGCTTAGTTGTCTACAGGGCAGAGTACTTACAAATGTAACTGGTTCGAACTCAAGATAGTCCACTCCATCGAAATGATACTGTTCAAAATACAAGAAGGAAATTTACATCGTATTACTACGCTGAAAAAAGAAAGTTATAACACTTGACAACCATTTCACATTTCTATAACATTACACGCACTCTGATAGATCAAAAATATATCGCTCAACTCTACTTACAACTCTTAATTTTTTATAAGATATTCTTCAAAAGTATAACACCCTCTTGTTACTGCAAAAGGAAAGCTTTTCACACGTGTTATGTTATCTTAGAGCTTATTTAATCCCAGGGAAGTCGGTTGCAGATTAGATGTTTGGTCCACGGGGCGAAAGGGTGGGGGAGTGACAAGCAAGTCTCAACGGTTATGGTGTTTTCGATCAGTTCAGGGGAGCATTTGATGAAATGCAACCCTGGCGGGATACGTTGAGATTTATGCGAGACCACACGATCACCAATGAGATAATGGCAAAAATGTTTAGAGTAAAGGAAAGTGCGGATTTGTACCAATTCTCTATTGCACACGTTCCTGCAACGTGGTCGATGAATGAAGATGAGTTTAAGTTAAGATAGCAAAAGTTTGCGAGATACAAACCTGTGAACTTCCACTGCTTTAGAGAAGCTACAAAAACAGGGAGATATGGTAGCCAATATTTTACATTTTCGTTTGTTTTTCTACTTTTTCCAAGACTTTAACTAAATTAGAGTTCTTATGATACCAACATTTCCAAGACCCGATCATAACTACTTTTGAGGGAAAAAGAAAGTTAATCTTTTCTGACCTTTGTTTTGGCAACTTTCACAAGGACAGCTGTTTCAAGTCGAATTCCAAAGCGACCATCTTCATAATATCCCGGTTCTAAGGGAATAAATGCTCGGAGGTGAATGATCCTTTGTATTTCACTACTGAACCAGCCAATTTTCGACCGCGAAAAGTGCTCTTTACTTCTACATAATGTACTAAAAAGAAGCATTGATTGCGAAGCAATAAACTTTATATTTTGTCCAGAAAATGAGAATGAGCAATGTGTTGGGTCGAATAACAGTGTAAGAAACTATCCGTACTTAAAGTTAAGTTTTTATCAATTAGTCGTCATTAAATGGAATTTAAGGTAATGGATTTCGAAAGTGATTTTGGTAGCACTTGAACGATTCTTTTTGAGAATAATCCTATTCCTTAGACTTTTATCGAATGGAGTTAATTTAGGGTGCCAACTTTTTGCATAAAATTTTGTTAGAAATGAAGCAAAAAACTTTATTCTCACACTTTCGGTTTTAGCGTTAGAATATAAGTAACACTGCATAAACAGAAAAAACGAACGCAACAGCCTCAAGTCCAGTCAGGTAAATTCGCTAATCACAGAATTGATCACAAAAACCAGAGCAACAATCACTAATCCTAAAAAAGACAGGGGAATTTTCAAAATGAAGGGATTTTTACTTTAGACATCTCTACCGGAGATGTAAATGTATTTGTTTTTTTCGAAAATTATAACAGTTATGATTGATTGGTAACAAGACCTTGTCCCGTCCTGTCCTCCCACTCAGTCAATAGGTACATATCATCGCACCTGGGTTTTTTATCGTTATTGGATTGTTCTTTTTTGGATAAATATATGCATATTTTCATATCAGAAACAGTAAAGCGTCTAAAGAATCAACATTTCATATGCATGAAGGTCGTCTTTCGATAGCATTTCAGAATTACTTAAAATTTTACCATGTACAACATGTGGCTTCGAACGGCTCAGTCCTGATAGTGATTGCGCCCAACCAGTGTCTTGGAGGCATGCACTCGAATCCCTTCGAAGCCTAAATTTCGGGCTTCTTTTCACAGTTGTTTGTATTAATGCCTCGATATAACTTAAGCATCACCACGTCACATTTATGTGACTCTTACCGTCAGATAAAATCATTCCAGGCATTAAAATTTTCTCGTCTTCGATAGGAAATCCTGGAGCTATACACTGGGGTCCTGCACGAGAATTGTAACGATGATTTAAAGGTAGTTAATGAATCATCAACAACTGCGTATCGGATCAGAGTCGGTAGAGGGTCCCCTCTATTTTCTCTAATACAATCAAACTCTCATCAGAGAAACAGTCATCGTCCCCGCAAAAAGGCATAATGTAATTTTGAGATTCCCTCTGAAACCGAAGGCCGGTTAAATCCTGGCTAAACGATTTACAGATTATGGATTGTGACGCCGAGCGTAAATTTGAAAATCCCAGTGTAACAACGGAGGCTAATTCATTTGTGTATCTAGTGCTACATGATGTTAAAGGAGAGGGGGAAAGGACATTCATTTCGCTGTTTCGCACGACTAATAAAAAACTTTTTCACTTTGCAGTATGTGCCCTTGAAGGTCAGTTCCCTCTAGCTAGCGTAGCTGAGGATATTAGATGAAAAATGAAGATGGCGAAAAGGAGTTGCAAAGATCACAATTTTCTTCGCACCATTTTTGTCGAAAAACTATGCAGGTTTCGTTGGCTAAATTTGAACACGTTCAACCTGATGGAAATAAATTCAAAATTTGAGATATGGCCAATAGGATCATTAATCCATAATCTGCCAGCACTCTACGCTTATCTGAATATACAATAAATACTAAATGTGTCTTAGATAGGGTACCCTCGTGAATGTTTAGGAAGTGTCCTATTCCGTGTCCCGTGCCATGTCGATAATCCAGCCCCACTTTCCAAAGAGGTTGTCGTGCAAACACATCTAATGTCCTTCCTTGAAAACGAAGACAAAGTGTTCGATTAAGACTCGGTCATGTCCACATACAGTCGTTTCGATATTTATTCCTAACTTTCATGAATTTCGCCGCCAAATGAATTTAATACTCCAATCGGAAATGTATACGATGTAGTAACTGAATCGACAGTTGAGTCTAAATTCTAATTAGGGAACCCAGCATTTTCTCGTTGATGAGCGAAAGTAGTCTTTATTAAACGTGTCAGGTGGTGATTCTTCCACAAGAGGAGTGTAGATCATTTTATGTCAGCTGTATCTGACAATTTTCCTTCGAATACTGTCGTTGCTTTTTTTGAAATAGAGTCGGGGGATTATTCTATAATTTTCTCTAAGCCAAACGAGAGTTATAGTCAGTCACGCAAGTAACATTCAAAGCACTTGTCTTTTCTTCCATTTCAACTTTTTGTCGTTATTGTCTTTTCCTATTAAAATCGAAGGCCACTAAAGATTACGCGACGTTCATTTTATGAACACCTTAATTTCAGAATAGCTATTCAGTGGATTAGATTTAATCATAGTTCCACCAAAATATTTTGGTTGCATCACTAAGTGGCTAATACTCTCACTCGGCAGTGGAAGGCGTCGACCTGGGAGTATATCGAGTTCATTATAATGTCATGTCTGGACCCAAAAAAAAGAGTAGTTTCATTTCTCCTGAGACTATTGGGAAAACAAAACTAACTTCCCCTGCCAAAGCCGCCATAAACTTTTCATACTTTTTAACGGGGCTATGTGATACACTCTCCTGTAAAAACCAAAAAGCCAAGTCAAGTAAAAACTAATTTATCAATTGTGGGAGAAACAAAATCCAATTTGGACCTAAATCTGTGGGGATATGGGCATGTACTGAGAACTGATTTCCTATTAGAAATTGTTTTAAACATGTGCTCGGTCCTTTGAACATTGTAATTAACAACAATCTCCTTTTTCGCTGTTCTACAATATTTACAGTAAAATACGCTCATTGTCTGAGTTCGACCACAACTGACCAACGAATGGCAAAAGAAGTTAGCCATATCCCGAAAAAGAACAACCTTTTACATCAGATAAGAGATGTAAGAATTTAAAAAAGTTAGATAAACCTATCGATCGTTGGAAAAAAATAAAATTTCTATTGAGCCATTAAACCATATTATAGAACATAATTAAGCAGCGGTCTTGGACGCACGCATTCGATACGATTCTCGAGAAGTCTCAAGAGGGGCACCAAGGTGTTTGGAAAAATACGAGGTAACTCACAAAATATCCGCTCGAATTATAGGTTAAATCAGCGAATAAAATGTGTGTGCACCTTTCTTTCTAATTAAATTTTACGGGCTTCAAACATAAACAGGACTAAATACAATACATAAACATTTCTCACCATACGTGTCATTGGGAAAAACTGCACTGGCAATGTCAATATGTCCCTTTAAGACTCTTGTGTAGCAATCCTGAAATTGCCATCATTCATTATCTTAGTCATGAGAAGAAAAAACGTTGTGCATGACGGGGTATGTCTGATAAGAATGGTAGTAGTAATTACGATGCTAATAATAATACTAATAATAGTCAAGCAAATGGTGGAAAACAGGCCAGAAAAGAGAAGTTGTCGGTGCCATCGTGACCCCATTGTCAAGTTGACTGAGCAAGAATGATAAAGTTAAAAAAAAAAGTAAACCTAATAGGTACTTACTACAAAATGAAGTTCATGGATGCTGTGCTCTGAGGTAACCTCCATGATAAGGCTGGGTCTTAGTTGACATATACACGACTTTTCCTGCACTAAACAATCGCATTTCCGAACACATTTAGGTTGACAGGGACCTTGATATGTTGGCCTATCATGTTCATCCCATGGTGAAAGTAAAACGTTGAAAAAAGTGTTTTCAAAGGTAAAAATGTAGCACTAACCTTCTGGTGTTTGGTTGGAACTCCAAAATGAACCGTCCTTGTTGTGTCTGTTGTCCCATCTCTGGGCCAATAAAAGAACATTAAGAAACTTTTTAAACAACTTAGTCATTCGTATGAATCTGAAAACTGTATTTTAACACAATATGTACGCATCGTATGACCCGTATGGCCCCGCGGGTGCAATCTCAGAGAAAGCCATAGTAAAAGCCGACTTTTGTAGGGCCAGACGCGTTGAACACAGCGGTCAAACACTGCGCTTGCACGAGAGTTTGAAAACAATATTAAGAGGGATTTCCGAACGCGCGTCTAGCGTACAGCAAGGAGAAACAACATTATATTCCTAACTACTCCAATGTGCAAGACGAATGGAAAAAGGATTTTGGAGAAAGATCTTGGCTTTATTTCATCGTGAGATATCCCAACTGTTTTTAACGCGGACGCTTCGTTTCGGTAAAAAGGGAAATGACAGAACCTTTCTTCTACCCTTGCGGCAGTCTACTATAAACACGTCACAAAACAAAATTTTGGAAATTTTCAGCGTTTAGTGGTCTATGATAAAATGGTCATTTAATAAGTTTGGTCGGGACAGACGAAAAAATATTTGGCTCTCGGTCATGACGCACGGACCTCGCTCGGTCCGTGCGTCATGACCGAGAGCCAAATATTTTCCCGTCCGGGCCTCCCACTCAGTCAATAAGTACAATTATTTTGGGAAAACAAAAAGCCAGGAAAGCTTACAAGTACTGTCCTCCTGAATCCAACAAATAAACACTGCTTTTGTCGATCCGGGCGTTAGTAAATTGATTTGCTCTGTCGACGGATTAAAAAAAGAAGGTGATGAGATCGTTAGATCGTCTAAAGCATCTCACGTTTCTTTTCCTTGGGGTGTACCATGTTGATTGTTCAGCACGGTGAAAAGAAAAAGAAAAATTACAAGCGCGAAGTTAGTACTTAACATTATATAGCTTTAAAATGAAGCTCAAATATAATGCACACTGTCATTGATTGAAAGTGCGTGCTTTATCAGAGTACAAAACATGGAGCTGAGCTAAAGCTGTCACGCCATGTGCCAATTTGTACTATATTTATACCTATTTGTAAGAAACTTCAGGAAGTGCGGAGAAACACTCGACTTCGTCCGGTGTTTCCCCCTACACTTCTTTCGCGCTTCCTGCATGCTTTACAACAGAACAGAGTACAGTCAAAGCTTCTCTATTTGTTAACTAATTGATTTTTACGCACCAGTAGTTAATTTTGTTATTTTGAATTTCTTTCTTTACTTATGACACAATTCGCGCAGTCGCCACTAAATCATCCCCACGTCTTGTCAGTTGGCAAGGTTAAGCTGAATCAGACAGTCAACCAGCTCTAAATAACTAAATTTTTACATATCTTGGACCTACTTGTAATGGATTATGGCGCTGTTGGGTCCAAAGCCAGAAATTGTAGCAAAACTTGGACTCATAAAATTCTTCTCCAGCCTTTAACGAAAAAAGTTTTTAAGAATTATTAAAATTTTTGGAAGATTCTGCAGGTATAAATTTGCAAGTTCTATTTAAAGATAGACTATTTAGGCCACACGAAAGAACGCTGATCGCGCCGCGCTGCAATTAATATTTAAAACTAAAAAAGAAGTCTAAACAATTCGTTTCATGCAAAAAGCATCATCAAACCTGAGGTAATTCATTTCGCTATTTCATATGATAGTTCTCTTACGTTCTAAAGTACAACAACTTTGCCTCAGTCGTCAATTCTGTCAGCTTTGTAGAATTCAATGAAATCTGCAAAAATAGCGATAAATACTGAGTAATAACTAAATTCTGAAACGGAAAATTAAACCTAGTATGGGCTAGTATTCGCTACCATCATCTAGTACAATCGCCAAAATAAAATGTGTATTGTAGACATTAACCGTTGAGCTCAGTTTGATTTCAGTCATAGTTATGTCTGATTTATCTCCAGTTAACTTAGCCGCTGTGGAAAAATGAAAGTTCAAAAATTGAATTGGCTTGTTTCGATCATTTTTACTCTTGTCAGTCATTTGACGCCGTTTCGCATCACTCTAATTGTTTCTCAACTATCGAGACACACTGAAGAGATTTAATAAACTTCCTAATAACCTGTCTTTTTGTTGTTATTGTTGTTCCCAACGGTAAGTTAGGGATCCTCGTTTTTCCGTTTTCCCATGATTTATGCCCAGCGTGCTTCGCGCTAATTGCTCAAGTCAAAAGTGGTAAAAAATTCGGTCTGTTACCTACGGTTCGGACCTCCAACTAGGTTAGTGAGAAGTATTTCCTAATTACGAAAAATATGAAGCTATCGATATTTCTGAATAGAAATAAATATGTTAGACAGTCAAAGAGTTCAAATAGACAATAAGTTCATAACATATGATGTTGATGTGTTACCATGTGTAGATATGTTCTGGAGTCTGGCATTCAAAATTACTAATTTAATCAAACTTATGTGAGTCAAGGAACGAAGCTCTCTCTTTGTTGTTGAGGAATATTTCGTCCGTTTATGTTAGATGAGCTTGATTTAGGGAAGCATTTGAATAGTGTTCAGTAGATGCCAACTTTTCGTGGTATTGCTTATGGAGATCAAACAACACTGAAAATGGTTCGAACAAAGTTGAAATAAGACCTAGCATTTCAGTTTTCACGATTTTACCACGACCACTGAAAACCACTAAAAAGTAGAAGAAGCCCATTAAAAAGAAACCAACCCTTAGCCCTTTTAATACCTCACGTTCAATCCAAGCAAAGAACTGACAAAGCGCCGCGCAGTCCTTTACCTGCAAGGCCAAATAAATAGGTTCTGGCATGTTAAAGCAACACTCGTTAAAAAAATATAACCGTCTAATCTAATTGTACACGCACAGGCTACTTGATTCTCAGAAATATTTAGAGAGAGATTATCATTACTAAAAGATATTACTACTTTTTGCTATTAGGAAAGTACCTACATTGGCATTTTTCATTCCACGAATTTCTGTTGGATTTTTTATTGCTTTTGGTAAAGCAACTGGCGACTCGTCTATTAACAAATTTTCCTAAAAAATAATATAATAATGATGATAAAATATTTATAGAGCAAATTACAGTTAAGTATTATCAAATATGCTTTACAGGAACAAAAAAAGTCGAGGTACATGTTTAAAAAGGTAAGTCTTAAGACTACCTTCAAAAGTAGGTAAAGATTCATGGCCAGTGATGTCAAACATACGGAAGAAAGGAGGAAAGTGCCTTTGCTCCCAATGTGGGTAGCATTTTGCAACCAGGTCCCTCCAGCAGAAGCTTTTGATTGGACCGAAGCTCATATTTAGCAGAAATTTTACGATTAATAAGATTACAAACATAGTCGGGTGCTATGCGATATTTAATAGGTAGCCAATGAAGCTTGCACAACAGTGGTGTAATGTTGCTTAAAAAAAGGAATGATAAAAATGACGATAAGATTAATGCATAAAAACACATTACTAACTATAGTATGAATTCTTCTTAGTATGCGATTAGAGAACCTGGAAAATGAAAGAGCCGATGGTAAACGAGCTGGGAACGTGTTAGTTTTCGGTTTCAAGAATTAACAAATTCGGAATTAAAACAGCTACGAGAAAAAATGCGAAATTACCCAAAAAATAAAGAATGAACCAGTCTAAGTAAACGTCTATGGGAAGTGGATTTGTTCAGACATTGAACGGTTGATTGGAAATTTTTAGTGGCCCTCTGCCTGAATGAATAAACTAATTGTTAGATAAATTAGTCCAGCAGTAAAAACATACTTATTACACATAACATTACTGACGCACAGATACATATAACTGTGTGCGTTTGACGTTCGGCGTTGGTTTAACTTTAAGGTGCGACTCATTAAAATAGATATCGATTGAGTTCAAATGCTGACCTTGGGAATCTTCATCCTTATTCCGTGGCTTGAGGATGTGCTAACCTGAGTTCATAAAGACAAACGAGGTTTACCAATACAACTTGTATCGGTAAAAAGACTAAAAAAAAGAACAATCCTGCAATCGATTATGATTAGTTATGCATGTCAGCATAAGAATGCAACAAGAAAATGCAACAAACATTTTCAAGTCTTGCAGTTCTCTACAGTTGTTTGTAACACCATATGGAAACTTACTGAGTTATCCCGGTAACGTGGAGTGTTTTGGCAGAAAGCCTTTTATGGCTGGTCGTGGCTCTACTTACCAATATTTTAGCATTTTTGCATTCGGCTAGCGTTTTCACAACTTCCTTGATAGCATCATATGGCTTAAGTTGTACGCACAGGTGCTCTTCATTCCGGCCTTTACAATTTTTAACTTTCAGATGTCTTTTCACAGATGGCGTCACCTTGTCATTATCTACGAACAGTCTGCAAATGCGCGAGGCCAGTCAAATCAAGAAATTGTGAAAAAACATCCAAATTAGCGTAAGGTGGTTTAAAAGAGAGTCGTGAATTTTTAGGTACATCGATGATGTCAATAAAGATATTTTAAATTGAACTCACTTAAGAGGAAAACGAAAATCCCACGTAACGATGAGGCGTAACGTGAAAGTGACCTTCTCACGAGAAAAAGCTTTTTATTACAGTGATAAGATAGCCTGGTAATATCTTCAATATCAATAAAATACTTCTTTCTGAACCCTCTTTTAAAAATCTTGACTGCCTTTTACTACTATAATGTTACCAAAGTATTTCAATTGGTTTTTTCTTTTACTTTTCTTTGTTTTGTTTTGTTTTGTTCTTGGTTTAAAAGGCACTGATTTATTTTGTCATTTGCTTCATGTTACTGTGACAGTAGCCGACCCATCTTAAATCAAATCTCTTAGGAGGAAATGACCCCGCCAGATATAAGAAGAAATGAGAGATGTTACTTACGAGGCACTGTCCTTTGTAACTGTAACATAGGAGAAGAAAACTGGGGTATACTTGATATCAAATCCTCGGAGATTCAAAAGCCCTGAGAAAACAGTTGTAAATATAATTTACTGGATGGTACAATATTGAGGTCTCCTTAGAAAAATGGAACTTTGTCAGCTAAATTATCGATTCACCACATTTTATACATCAGTGGATATCAGTAAATTAATATTTGGGATAAAAGGAGAAATGTACTTCCTGGTGTACAAGTACTAAGATTAAGTGATTTCAAAAATAGAGGAAGGAATTATAAACAAGTTCGTGGAATCGAAAGAAAACTAGTGAGAGAGAAATCATATTTACCTTTGCCTGAATAAAAGAATGGGTTGCATTTAAACAAGACAGCCCTTTGCCCTCCTTCTCGCCAACTAATATAGGTTAGCGGCTCCAACACTCATACCGAAAATCGGGAAGCAATTGCATCAAAATAGGTCTGTTCGGCTTTCGTCGTACATTAACAAATACTTACACGCTATTTCATCCAGTTTTTCGATTACAACGGCAGTCGCTGACCTGGCCTTCAGGAAACCGCGTAAGGCTATGATTTTATCTTGCCAACTTCTACCTGAGGTTGATATAAGAATTCTATTTTTACCGTTACACTCAAAATAAACAATGGTATATCGGAAATGATATCTGCGGTAGGAGTTCACCGCCGCGTTCATTGGTTATAGAAAATCCTTTACTTGATCTTAACATGATTCTTAACAATACTTGTCACTCAGATTCGTGTCTATTTTTTTTCTTACTCATTTTTTTCTTTTATCACCCGGAGACGGTTTTTTTAAAACCCGTGAATTTTATTTTCTTTATGAGTGAGTTTAATTTGAGGGGAAGCTATAAAAGACCTATACCCAGACGGTGTGATGTCGCTTTCTTTTACTAGCCCACCCAGCACCGATTATTTTCTCGTTTTAGTGTTATTACTAATTTGTTTTTTATGCCATACCTGAGTAAGAAATATCGAGGACAATTAACTTCCTTGGTTGTGGCTGTGGTCTGGATGGCCAAACAAGATCAACCAGGTTTTGTTTGACAGGAATCAATTCGATGTTATGTTCCTTGAGCTCCTGGTGACATGAAATTGCCTTAGTAAACTCATAATAATCTCGCTTAAGTTCATTCTGATGTTTGTAAAGAGAGAAACAACCCGGTATTTTAAACTATACAGTTCTAAGACAAAGTCTTACACAATGTTGAAAAAAAAGTAATGAACGGTAACTGGAGAAAAACTTTGAGCTGAGCTCTATGCTACAGTTATTCACTTAAATCGTTCCTTGAAAGAAAGAAGTAATAATTAGTTTTTTTGTATAGACAATGGGGCAAACATTAACTAGATTAAAGCAATAAAGCACACGAATGTCATAACTACCTTTGGCCCCTAACGAAATTTGTCTGTTACTGCGCTCCGGTTTGCTTTGTTTTGTTTTGTTTTTTGTTGTTGTTGTTGTTTTTGTTTTGAAGAATGTGTCCTTTTTTCGAGGGGAAGGATACATGGTTTGTTTCGGAGAGCACCTGGTTTGGTCCATCCTTTATAGACACCTCATTATTCAGCTATCCAAAGTCAATTAAAAGAAATATTCAACTTTACCTTAAACATTCGATCCCACTCACCTGCAGTGATTCAACCGACACGGGAAAATTAAGATGATGTCATACATTTATATGCTTACGTACAGTTGTAGTTGTTAATTGTCATGGCTATGAACTGCGCATTTGTAGACCTCATTACGATACAAAGATATCGATTCACTTCAATTCTATGGCCATCTAAAGCTTGATTGAGAAGGGAACACAAAGCGACAGTAATATACATACTGGAATTCCGCGTTAAATGTAAACGGTTGGAGGAGTTTTGTTTTGCGGATTGGAAATCAAGGTTTTCGCGTTGTGCGGGAACAAATTTTGTGGTTTGAGAATGAATCAAACTTCTGTCCAAGACAAATTATGTGCACAATCTTTTCAAGCAGTAGAACGTTCAAAAAACTGTTGATATTTCGAGTAAATCCTAATATAAAGATGTAAATGGACTCTTGATTCACACAGAATATAATAACATTTCAGTGGTAGTGATTTTTCTATTTTTCCGCCTTGTTTCAGGGGGAAAAGGAAAATCCACCATAATTAAAAGCTAGGATAATACTCCTCTTTACCAGGTTTTGCAACTAACTTAATGTTTGTATGCTACTCGTGGTAAAGTTAGTAAAATTAACCCCTTCTGTGGGCTAATGTAACTGGGATGAACTATGTTCGAGCCTTAAGTACTTTTCGAGAGTTAAAATTTGGCTTAAACGCGAATATCTGAGAAAAACTGAGAACTTTTGATAAACCTTTCAGAAACGGACATTATCCTACGATACTGCAACATTTTATTAAAAAATCCAGCGGGGGTTTATCTAGTTCTGTCTTTCTTTCTTTTCCTTACCGTGCTTACTAGGCTTCTAAAGACAAATTGATTGACAAACTATGAATAAAAAATGATCAAAACGTGCAAGTGAGAAAGCACCGTTTTTCGCAAGCAGAACTTTCGCCTTTCTCTCTACAATACATATCGATTATACTGATTAGAGTACTAGGTAGAATACTAAGTAGAGTAAGAAAAATGATAAATTTTGAGCTAGGTCGTGAAATGAACGGGATGTTATTTCTCTTGTCACGGGAATGGGGCAAAATTAAGTGAGAGTCTTCGAAGATCAAAATCTACATAAATCTTCCTTCCTATTCTATCATACTAATTTGTAATGCTTTATTTTGCTATAAGTTGGAATTCCCACCCTCTTAACCAAACAAAAGCCATCTTTCTAATGTTCGAATATTGTGTAAAACATCAAAAACAAAGGCAACTTACACACGGAAATAAGAAAAGGATCAACTCCCACGCTGGACCCCTTTGGCAGGCTCTGAAATGGTTAAAATGGTTAAAAGACTACGTTGAAATAATATCCTATATCCTAGGTCCTTCATCTATTTTTTTGACTTGCTCTTTTGAATAAACGACCTCATTTCAATCTCTCGGAGAGATAATTCCAATGAAGGGCTGAAAGGACTGACCTTTGTAGCTCAAATCAATATAAAACTGTTACTCACGTCAAGTAGCCATTGGGAAAGACTTGGAGTTCCTTTCATTCCTATTGTAATTAAAATATGATCCCTCATATCTTGTTGACCTTTCAATTTCAACGTAAAAAGTCTAAAAAGTAAATATGTACGTCACCAGTTTAAGCGTCAAATCCCTGAGATATGAAACCTCTGCAATTTTCCAATGCAGATAATGTTGATAGCTCGTACAAAGGAACAATAAGTTATTTAAAAGAAGATGCTAAAAATGAGTCCAATCAACGACATTCTCTTAAGGACTTAGGACGCTCTTCCACCAAGCTATAGGGGACTTGTGCCAAGCTAGGTCCTTTAACTAGTGGTAAATAAGTCCATCGTGCCAAAATTACCGCATACTGTGAGGTTAGTAATGTCGATATAGGTGGTGCTTAAGCGTAATCATGATGTAAATGAAGATGGTAAACGTTAGGCGTTAAATGTTAATAATTCTATCTTCCTGCGTGGATAGAAATGCCGCTATGTGATACTTATCGGCAATGATGATAATGAAAGTTGTATATGATGTGAAGCAAATCATAACTCACCCTCTTTTTGTACAATCCAGTTACAGTCTAATTCCATTTCTGCTTGAAGAAAATATCTTCCGTCTGTCCAGAGAGCAGCCTTTGCGTACGTTATGATAGCGGTCCCTGAAGATATGCAAATTTATAATACAAAAGTGGCGAAAAGAGATAATGGAAAGAGAAAATGATCCAGTTATGCAGTTCCCATTTTTGTTTGACTCTTTCTTTTGACTTGTTATTTTCTTCTTGGTATACGAATAGTTCTCTCTCCTATAATGCGTTTTTCTATGGGTAAGCTTCATTTGCATCCTTACCATGAGATCCACTGAATCCAGAAATAAACTCCCTTCGTTGATACTGTGGCGCAACATCTTCGCTCTGGAAAATAAATTAAAAGTATGAATAAGATGGCTTCAGTGAAAAGTGCTACCCGTTATCTACCTCGAGAGTTATTGGATGAAACCCCCCCAACCCCCCCCCCCCCCCCATGTAGGAGAGTAAGAGATCTGCTCACCGAAAATTCTTATCAAATTCATTCAAATGCAACTAAGAATTTTTGCTTTCACTCAGTTTTTCCTCATCCAGAGTGTTATTTGCTTCGAGAAAGGAGATGTAACGATGGTAATATCCGCGTCACATTTTTTTCGATTTCCGTGAATGGACACATACGATAAGGCTGTTGCCTTGGCTTTTTATTTCTAGGTTTTTTTTTCTGCTATCTATATAGCAGTTTAAAAGGCAGTCGTGGTTGTCGTCATCCACTAGACATGGGTTTAAGCTACCTCGCTTTTTATCTCTTCATTCGATCTTTATAGCTGAGAACTGTGGATTTCCTTAGGGTCTCAACAGGTCCAATTTTTAATCATTACTTGTCTCTCTCCTTCATGAAAAGTAATTTAAACTTCTGAATAATAAAAAAGAAACATATATGAACAAACGAACAAGATGCGCGGTTACCTGGTGTGCGTCCATAGAGGGTACGATATAGGCTTGTATTCTTGATCTTCTCATCACGCTTCTTAAATCTGACAACTGTTTTGTAGTATTAACTGAAGAGCGTGGTAAAAGCTAGATGGTTAATGAAATGGAACAGCTACATTATTTACAAATGACGAGAAAATAGCCCGGGGAATCTGATCAACTCTAGGAAGCGCTTGCTGGACCTTGTAGGAAATGGATGCAAAGCAGTAGCTCTCGGAATATTTTCACATTTTCGTCTTTACCAACCTGAGATTTCCCTTCCAAACATATACGTCGCTTCAAAGAATCTTTAAAGGAAGAAGCATCTGGAATCTCCGCCATTCCTTAAATAGCACATCTCACCAAGTCAGTAGTTCAAATACATGACGAGTGTAAACAATACAATAAGTCGTTGGATGAATTTCAATCGTGACCGTTGAAATTGCAAGTCGTAAAACGACGAAAGGACAATGAACTAACCTATAGTAACAAGTAAACTGAGAATACTAGAGAAAAAAACCACCATTCTAACTCCTGAAATCACCTCCTGTGCAGAAGTCTTTAATTTCCCATTTTCTCTCTTCGTTATTTTCAGTTTATAGTAGAAGAATCAGTGAAGTGTGATATGCGAAGCAGAGGGCACCAGATACTCACTACTGGTACCAGCTAACTAACCTGGCAATTAATTGAAATTCGTCAAAAGAATTCGGAGAACAGATTTTAACTTGAATAACTAACTTTCTTCTTAACTTTTAGAGTAGTAAAAATGTCAAAATAAGCCTCCTCGAAGTTTTCATAACCCGATCTTACCTCAGTATCATATGGGAAAACCCCTAACGAAAACTTGGGGTGCGTCAGTGTCATGAATACTTGCGAACATAACTGTTATTGTGCCGCGCACTAATTTTTTTATTGAAGATTGTGATATGTAGCATGAAAAGGAAATAAAAACAAGATAAAGCGAAAGGAAAGGGTTTAAAGAGAAAAGGTTGCGATTCCTTTAACGTTTTTGTCCCGAATTTTTGTTTTTGCTGTGGTATTCATTGATAATAGATGAACAAAAAGTCAACTCAGTGGTGTCGATGTCATTGGCAAAGGAGAAGGAGAGATCTGTTACTATGGTTTCTTTTGCTATAAATGACATTGAGCCGAGATGAAATAGCCTTCCTAAGTATTCAGAGGGTTGTGTGTCCTTATTGAACTTTAGAAAATTTGCATTAACTTTCTTAAAGGCCAACACTTTCTAGTCCTTACTATTCAAACTCTCTAATTGTTATTTTTAAGGTTTCTTGAATCAATATTTGTATATGAAGTCAATGAAAATATTTACGACGCTATTGTTGTTGTTGCACAGGTAGCCCAGGCTCGCGAAATGAACCATCTTAAATATGCAAATATCATTACTTTGGCCGAAATATAAGGATTCGTATAGGTAAGCTATTCATCCAGCGAATAGCCGACACAGTGGACCAATAACTGAGAAGAGAGCAGGCAGGGTTTCGGAAAGGAGGGGGATGTACAGACCAGATCTTCGCCCTGGGTAACATCATAGAGCAGTGCACAGAGTGGCAGAGACAACTCTACATCAACTTTGTAGACTTTGAGAAGGCTTTTGACAGCGTACACCGGGAAAGTCTGTGGCGCTTCTTTCGGGCCTATGGGATACCACAGCAGATTATCGACATCATCAAAAGCTTCTACAACAACTACAACACGCAGAGTAGGCAACAGCGAAACCAGCTTTGAAGTGAAGACTGGCGTCAGACAAGGTTGTACAATGTCGGCGATGCTCTTCAACATGACCATTGATTGGGTAATGAGGCGTACAACAGAAGATCAGTCACGGAGCATCAGATGGACCCTCTTCTCAACGCTGGAGGACCTAGATTTTGCAGATGATCTAGCTTTGGTCTCCCATACTCACCAACACATGCAGGAAAAGACGACCCGAATCAGCACTTACGCACAGTAAGTTGGCCTGAGGATCAGCCAAAAGAAGACAGGAGTGATGCTGTTGAACGTGTCCAACCCTACACCAGTTCAAGTGAACGGAGAAGACCTGCCAACAACTGAAGAGTTCACTTACCTGGGAAGCACAGTAAGGCATGATGGAGGGAGGGAATAACATCAAGAACCGTCTCAACAAGGCCAGACACGATTGGGCACGTCATGAGGAGAGAGCAGGACAATATCACTAGCACAGCCCTTCACTGGACACCTGAGGGAAAGCGCAAGAGGTGAAGACCAAGAAACACCTGGCGCCGAACTGTGGAGGCAGAGCTCAAGACCATGCAACACACTTGGGGTACCATCCAGAAACTGGCCCGGAACCGACAGACGTGGCGATCCTTCGTAGCCGTCCTACGTGCCACACGGCATAATGGGAATGAGTGAGTGTGATGGGTAAACGGTCGCACTCTCGACCTAAAAAATTCTGAATTAGTTTAGTTCAGCTACTCTGCCTTCTGTCAAAGCCGAAAGGTGATATAGCTGCTTCACACCTCCATTATTTTTATTAAATTCATTACATGAATTTCTGTCATTCTATCATAACTTTATTTGCCTTAAGACCATACTCTAATACCCTCCCGCTCTGTTTAAGACCAAGGGGTAACAGGACGGAAAAGTGTCTCATACATGACGTCTAAGAAGAAAAATTCTTCACAGTCAGCGGTTACATTACGGAGTTTAGAGCTTCCTTCGAGCATTTAAGAGTTGTGCGCGGGATCTGTAGTAATCTTCTACCGACGAAAATTTCAGCTTTCTCCCTTTTTGATTATATGCCTCTCTGATAGAAACAGACATGGGAGTTCCCAAGTTTTACAGATGGGTTAGTGAGCGATACCCATGCATAAGTCAAGTTGTTCAAGAACATCAGGTACAACTGCAATGTGCAATAGCACTCCGTCTCACTGTGTCAGATATTTGTGATAAAGGATGTGTTAAGTTTTTTTCTCTGTCTTGTTTAATTTCAGATACCCGACTTTGATAATATGTACTTGGACATGAATGGAATCATTCATCCTTGCTCGCATCCTAATGACGATGATCCTCACTTCAGAAAAAGTGAAGAAGAAATATTCGCTGACATATTTCATTACATCGAAGTGAGAAGTGTTAAAGTCTGATCTAATAGTAATTTGTCGATCTTGTTGTTATTGTGGTCAGGCAGTTGAAATTTTCAGGTTTCTTAACCCTTTTTGTGGGCTTTTATGCCATATAGACGACAAATCCGATGTAGATGAACTTTTTCATTGTTCAAGAACCAGAAAGTACAAAAGTTATATCACTAAGTAAGAAGAAGTAGGTAATACTGTAAAATTACATGTATAGATCGACAGTAACACTGATTAAATCACCTCCAGATAAGTATTTACTGAGGCACTGCTATGTTGTACAGCATAATCATATGATCTTGTTTTTGGCACAGGGGCTTTCCTGGTGCTTAATATATGTGTAATGTCAGAGTTCTAAATCGAGATGTTATCAGTGCTCCCTCTTATTTTGAACACAGCAGGTAAATTGTATGTTCAAACAGGAAGAGGAATCCTTTTACCTGTGGAAGTTTCAAGAATATCCAAGCACATTGCATTGAAAATAAATATTCAGTGCAAAAATTATATAGCAAGTCATTGTAAGGCTAGTACTTCAGGAAAGGGTACTTATTAAAAGGCAAATGTTTGGACTGCATGAAGTGTTACTAGCTTAGCTTCCTTGGGCAAGTGCTATGATGAAGGATATACTGGCCCTGTAAAGAAATGATTGTTGATATAAGTTTGGTTCACAATTCTATGATACAAATTATTTTAACCAAGCAAAGTTTGTTCTGCTGTATAATGTTTTGTTCAGGTGCTGTTCCAGATTATTAAACCCAAGAGAGTTTTCTTCATGGCTGTTGATGGTGTGGCTCCTCGAGCAAAAATGAATCAGCAAAGAGGACGTCGTTTTCGGTAATTTTCAAATCTTTACGTAACACTATATGCTTCAAATCTTTCCCTATTCAGGTTTAATTCTTCTTTGGAACCACTTGGTGGGAGGTTGTTCTTTTTATTTCATTTTGTTCCCTTGAATTTCACAGGTCTGTATACCTGTCTTTTATGTGTACATGTTTGTACATAGTACATGTATGTTGGCAAATTTGCCAGTTATTTGATCAGCTAAAGTTTTTTTTCTCTGGTTTAAACTGCAGGTCTGCTAAAGAAGCAGAACAAAACATTCGTAAAGCTTTGGAAAAGGGCCAAGTTCTACCAAAAGAAGAAAGATTTGATTCTAATTGTATTACTCCTGGTATGTGCTTGTAATCATGTATGTTGTGGCTTAAATAGTCTTTCATGTGCAATTATGGGTTGTGAAATAAATTCAGTATTCTGTTTTTACACCAATTTTTTGATAAGTGAATGTTAGCACTTTTTTGATAAACATTTAACTTGTGTGTTTATTTGGGTTTTTTTTTTCTAACAAGAATATAGATTTATAGCTTGTCTTATTCAACTGTTGTGTGTATGGTATTTTTTCTTTTTTAGGTACACCTTTCATGGTAAGACTCCATGAACAATTGAAGTTTTTTGTCAGCTATAAGATTTCTACTGATCCTGCTTGGCAAGGATTAAGAGTATATCTGTCTGGACATGAGGTATTTATCACCTAAGTTTCATTAAACTGTATTTTTTCTTGACTGGTCAATAAATGGTACCTGTGGTGCCTTTCAGTAATATATTGTCGCTGTATAGCCTTGCATCAGCTCTTTAGGTAATTATTATTGTGTCTTAATTTTTTATGCTTATCCTCAAGCTGTGTAAAACAGGTCATTTGATACTCATTGGAACATTAATTATCCTTTTCAGACACCTGGTGAGGGTGAGCACAAAATCATGGAATTCATCAGGTCTGAGAGAGTGTGCCCTGATTATGATCCCAACACAAGGCATTGTTTATATGGCTTAGATGCTGACTTGGTGAGATACAAGCTGAAACTAAGTTAAAGAGTTTATTGAAAGTTCTGATTGCCTCTTAAAAGATGTCAAGCAGTAATTATACCAATCTATAGATTTAGTTAAAGTGCCTTCAACCCTCCCAATTTTTCTTTTTTTTTCTTTTTGACAAAGTAAATCTCCTTTTTTTATTGTAGCATCTATTTCAGTTATTTGTTTATGAATTTTCAGAGATCCCAAATGAATTTTTAATATCATAATTGGAGTGGCTCTTGAAATATTACTCTAGTGCAATTAGTTGGTTTTGAATTAAATGTCATTCCACTATCACTGTGTTTTTGAGGGTGGGAAAAGCAAATGATACTGTATTATGTTAAAAAAGGCAATAGTTTCTCCTATGTGTTATTTTCTTTGCTTTGGACTGACCTTTCTCTTCTAGTGAAATTGACTTCAGAGATATACCTGAGGTATTTGTCCAAAATTCATCTGAGTATCCTCTATTCTTCAAGCATATTTTGAAAATCTGTACTAAACTGTACTCCTCTATTCTTCAAGCATATTTTGAAAATCTGTACTAAATGTGGAGCATGATAAATTTGTTCTTGGAAAGCATAGCACTTTTCCTTTTACAAATCTTTTCTTTACGCC